GTGGTTTACGCGGCGATGGGTATGTACGGACACGGCGCCGGAGGCGGAAGCGATGGTGAAAGCATGAAATCGAGACGCCGTAGTTCAATCGGCATTGATCCTCTCGACGTCGCGAAAATATTGGGTGTGTATTTCAGGGACAACGAGAACTTGGCCGTCGACGAAGAGAAGTTGCAGCTCACCGCTGAGCTCATCCGCATATTCTCCACACCGCCTGGTAGAGATTTAGCTTCCCAGGTATCTCATCCTGGAAATTTTGGATTATTGATTTGATACTTATTTGAGGGAATCAAATTGCATCACATTTCTGGTGAATTTCATGAAATCGAATTTGCATAAAGCTTGGTATATTATAGAAAATTTTCGGTATAAATTGGAATCTATTAAACTGTATTTCGTTTCCCCTCTATAAATGGAACGATTAAGTAACTTCTCTGTACATCAATTAGTTATTTTTAGTATATAAGAGAAACAGTTCATAAGTTTCTTTCATGGCAATTGACACTAACTGAGAGAGAAGCAGGTAAATGAAGAAGGTGGCGGTTCCTTCTCTTTGTCGCTTGATCTCCAACATTTCAAGAAATTATCAGATATTGAGAACTTTTTCATAAATCTGGAGGATAATCCTAAAGTAGTTATTCCATGCATGAATGCTGCAGTTCACAAGGTAGAGAGTATTCTTAAAACTTCATTGGATTTTGATTTCTTGGTTGGCGTGTGATGGAAACTTATTTGATCTTTCACAGGTTCTTTTGGGTCAATGGGAGACTAAAGATGTTGAGAATATGAAGATAAACATTCGTCTGTATAACTATCCTGAATCTTCAATCTCCCTCAAAAATCTGAAAGCAGCATATATTGGTAGACCTCTGTCTCATTCCGGTGAATAAATTATAAAACTGGAAACCTTTAGTGAGCCAAAAGCATGACTGGCCTTTGATTTTTGTGCTTTGAAATTGCAGGCAAGCTTGTAACAGTTCATGGGACTGTTGTTAAAGTTAGTACCGTGAAGCCTCTTGTTACACAGATGGCTTTTGACTGTACAAAGTGCAAAACTAGCATAACCAGGGAATTTACTGATGGAAAGTTTTCACCTCCACAAAATTGTGACTTCCAAGGATGCAAGTCCAGAATTTTTACTCCAATTCGATCCTCCGCTCAGACAATTGACTTTCAGAAAATCAGGTGCTCTCCTATTTGCGTCTTATCATTTCATGTCCTTCATTTTTGTTAGTTATGTATCTTGCCATTGTTAATCCGCTGTCCAAATGGTTTTTAGGGTGCAGGAGTTGCAAAAGCTTGAAGACCATGAAGAAGGTCGGGTACCTCGAACTGTAGAATGTGAGCTGATGGAGGACCTTGTGGACTCATGTATCCCTGGTGATGTTGTGACTGTTACAGGGATTATAGGAGTGATTAATAATTACATGGACATTGGAGGAGGTATTGATTCTATTCTCTACATAGTTTGCAAACGTAACCACTTACAAATGCTCTGCTATCCTTAACTGCATAACAGCTAGAGATTTGTGTCTCAAAATCATTCTGCTATGGTACATATTTAGGCATCTCATTGCTGGAAAGTAAAACAGAAAACTGCTCTTCACATCTCTTATGTGCATATTTTTCATACCACAAGATGAGTTGTTTGTTTTATTTACAATGACAGTTCACCACGGGTCAAGTACCATGTCGTAATACCCTCAAAGAGACTGATTTAATATGCTAAGCCCTGCTCAATGCTAATGTTCCAGGGAAATCGAAGTCCAAGAATCAAGGGTTCTACTATTTGTTTATAGAGGCAGTTTCAGTAAAGAATTCCAAGAAACAGTCTGCATTTGAGAACTCAGAAGACTGCAGTGGCGGTACTCAGTCTGCAGACGCTAATGACTTATATTCATTCTCACAGAGAGATTTGGAATTTATTGTGAAGTTTAAAGAAGAATATGGTTCTGATACATTCCGCCGCCTACTTCATTCAGTCTGCCCATCTATCTACGGACATGAAATTGTAAAAGGTCCGTAACAAGTTTTCCTGAAAAATCATTGCCGAAGGCTTGATATTTACTACTAGAAGCATTGTTTACCATGATACTTTCGTTCATTTGTCTATTTCTTTTCATTTCAACAGCTGGGATAACACTATCCCTGTTTGGAGGTGTAAGGAAGCATTCGATGGATCGGAACAAAGTTCCAGTTAGGGGAGACATCCATGTCATAATTGTTGGTAAGCTTTCGAATCAAATTTCATTTAGTGGCATAAACCCAATCTAGTTTGAAACTGATGCACAAAATTGTGATTGATGATTTCGATGCGCAAATAGGCGACCCTGGATTGGGAAAAAGTCAGCTCTTGCAAGCAGCATCAGCCATTTCCCCTCGTGGCATCTATGTGTGTGGTAATGCGACAACTAAAGCAGGGCTCACTGTTGCTGTAGTGAAAGATTCTATGACAAATGACTATGCGTTTGAGGCTGGTAACTCCTTCCATCCACTTAATTAGCCAGTACAAATTTCAGTATATGGAATATAATTCTACTGTGTTAGATACGGGTTTGAGTCATGCTGTTGGATGGTTTTACTTAATACTTAGCCTCAATTGGCTGTATAGTTGCGTCAGATGTCCTAAAATATTTGCCTAATTTGATGCTTACGGGTGAGGTATGCCTTGTAGATTGAAGAACTTCACACTAGTGAAAAGTTGCTCATGCGTAGAAACTCTTACTTTAAAATATGTTCAACTGATTTTTGGGTAGGAAGTGAAACCTTCGTCTTTGTTAACCTAGTAATATCCTATGAGCAGGTGCCATGGTACTTGCGGATGGTGGGCTATGCTGTATTGACGAGTTCGATAAAATGACCAACGAGCATCAGGTTTGTCTTATTGGCAGTGTCATTACTTCTGATGCTGACATTGTTTTCTCATTAACTTGAATCACATTGCCACAGGCCTTGCTAGAAGCAATGGAACAGCAATGTGTCTCTGTTGCAAAGGCTGGGCTTGTAGCTAGTCTATCAGCTCGGACTTCTGTTATAGCAGCTGCAAATCCTGTTGGTGGCCACTACAAGTAATTCTCTTACTGTGATATCTCATCTTTCAAGGTTTGAGACTGGGTGAGAAAGAAAACCAAAATAGCATATTTTCTTGATACTTACCATCCTCTTCATGATCTCATTTCAGCCGTGCTAAAACTGTAAACGAGAACTTAAAAATGAGTGCTGCCCTTCTCTCACGGTTTGATTTAGTTTTCATATTACTTGACAAACCTGATGAGCTACTCGACAAGCAAGTCTCAGAGCATATTATGTCGGTGAGTCTCTCCTTCTGAAAGTATTGTTGTGGAACATGCTTGGTGGATAGAAGAGATATCTTAGTTTCTGGAGAGACGTTATTGGCTCTATGCATTGGTTAATTCAAAGCCATTTACAGAAAAAAACTTACCTTGAATTTTTTTCTGGCAGCTTCATTCTGGAGGTGGAGAAACATCACCTGCACTAAAGAAGTTTAAGACAGGTCCAGTTTCTTTTAGTTGTTAGGTATAGCTAGTGTAAACATAACCTGATTAAAGAAATATCCTTGACTTCTCGTTTGATATCAAATGCAGCATCAGGATATGCTAATACGCATGCAAAAGAGGGTTCTCTAATGTCAAGACTGCGGTTTGACTCTAAGAAAGATGATGACTTTACTCCCATCCCTGGCCAACTGCTTAGGAAATATATTGCTTATGCAAGGACTTTTGTCAACCCTAAGTAATATGATCTGTCTCCCAGCTGCAATTAAAAGATGCTCGCAAACCAATTTAGGCATTATGAGGTAACATTTCTTTGTCTATTCAGGATGTCAAAGGAAGCTGGAGAGATCATACAGAAGTTTTACTTGAAGCTGAGAGACCATAACACTTCCGCTGACTCCACACCAATAACAGCAAGACAACTGGAAAGTTTGGTCAGGCTTGCGCAAGCTAGAGCTCGGGTTGACTTAAGGGAAGATATAACAGTCCAGGATGCCACGGTAAGCCAAAACATGGAACCCCTGTGCCCTATCTCTGAGCATACATGCATTAGGATCCATACCAATATACCATACATACATAAAAGTATTATTCCCTCTAATCTTTTTTGTTGAAAATTTCAATCCAAGGCTGCATTGTTGTAATCTTGTGATATTTGCTTTGACAATGAATATTTTGCTACTGGCTTAAGATGTTTTGACTTCTGTCCTTGCTTTTACAGGATGTGGTTGAAATAATGAAAGAATCGTTGTATGATAAGTTCGTAGATGAACACGGGGTTGTAGATTTTGGTCGGAGTGGAGGAATGAGTCAACAAAAAGAGGCCAAACGTTTCTTAAGTGCTCTTGATAAACAATCAGGGTTGCAGCAGAAAGATTGTTTCTCTATTTCTGTATGGACAATTTCTATCTCAAAAATTAGAAATTAGCTAGTGGCGCTTCTCACATTTTATTATCCCCATTCTTACTCAGAGACAATTGTACTGCAGGAGATGTATAGTTTAGCTGATAGGATCGGCCTACGAGTTCCAGACATTGACACTTTCTTAGAGAACCTGAATATTGCCGGATATTTGCTCAAGAAGGGACCAAAGACTTACCAGGTATATTCCTCCACCTAACTCAGTGAACAAGAATGGTCCATGAACAGGCAAAAAATGGCTAGAGGAATTTATTTTATTTTTCTCACACTGTCCTTATACAGGTCCTCTCCTCATCTTATTCCCGGAGCCAGTCATCCAGGTCAAGATGATTAGTATGTTTTTGCTATTGTATTGCTCATAATATCTAAATCAGTCAATTGTATATTACACAATACCAGAAACTCCGTAGTAATTAATACCACATGGACTTGGTTTGAATGCTTATAGGTCATTGTTCATTCACAGCTACTGATTTTCGAAGTATAGACTGACATCTAACATCTACGATACAACCTAGTATACATCGGTGTATATGAGAGAGTAAACCTGATCAAGAAGATGATCTAGTCTTCTCTTGGACCTAACTTCCATTCACTTCCATAGTAAGAATTCGGCAAACCAAGCCAAAACTTGAAAGCTTCAGCCGCTCTCTTTCTCTCTACCCGCCTGTCTATTCTAGCTTGTGAAGCATGTTTGCTAGTGAACATCCTCGAGTGCATCTCCACATAGATCTTCTTGTACTTAGTTTTGTTCGGAGGTATCCCGTTCTCCTCCATGCACGCGATTATCTCCAATGCCTTCTTGAAAAACGCAGCCCTCACACATATATCCGCTAACATATCTAACAACCCTTCGTCTGGTTTCAGCATCGGAGGATAAGGCTCTGAAGAATCTCCTTCTTCTCTCTTCTTCACCTCACACCTTTCCTTTATCTCCTTCCAAAGCAAGAGCGCCTCACCAGGCTTCCTCGCCACAGAAACCCCGTTTGCTAGACTCCCATAGGTCGCCACATTCGGATAAAACCCGTTCTCTTTCATTCTCGAAACTACTCTCTTCGCATCTTCAATCAAACCAAGCCTGCAATACCCTTCAACCAACATGTTCCAAGCGATCAAATCAACTTTAACCCTTGGATCCCTCATCATCTCATCAAACACCCTATTCGCCAGCTTCGGTTGCCCCGACATTGCGAAAGCCTTCATCAAAGTAGTGTAACTAATCTTAGTCGGTGCAATCTTCCTCGTTCTCATTTCATTGAAGAACGAAAGAGCTCCTGCGCTATCATCTATAAGAATGCATCCATCTATGATAATGTTATAAGAAACCACATCTGGCTCGATCCCTGCATCTTCAGCCATCTCTCTCAGCAAATCCTCCGCCTTATCTATCTGCAACTGCTTACAATATCCTTTGAGCAGAACATTGTATGTGATCCTATTCGCAGGAACACCCATCCTAGCCATCTCAGCCAACACTTGTCTTGCTCTATCCATCAACCCGGCTTTTACAAAAGCTGACACAACCGTAGTGTAGCTAACTTCATCTGGGTGGCTATTTCTATCGTCTTGACGCCTCATCGCCTCCAGCATTCTAGCTGTATCCGCCACACGCCCGTTCTTCATGTAACCTTTCATCAACGTCGTGTAGATTCTTGAGTCCGGAGCAAAGACTTTAGGCAACAATGGCGGCTCATCACTCGGGTCAACAGAGTTAGGCAGCAGTTTCTTGAACACATCCTCAAACCCTTCTTCGGTTACCTCATCCCGAGCCGAGTAAACCGAATCTTCATCATCCTCAAACGCATCTTCAGCTTCTTCCGCTTCTTCCTCTTTCTTCTCCTTCAAATCCTGGCTATTGCATTCTCGTAAAACCTTGCAAAGATCTCTCCTTTTCTCCCTCATCGCTTGAACAATCCTCTCCGCAGTTCTCAAATCACCAAACCCAACATAAGCTGCAACAAGAGAATGCATTGTAGTCATACAAATCTTAATTCCCTTTTCAATTATCCTCTCCAAGACGAACACAATCAATTCCTTCCGATCAACTCTCGCACAGAGCTTGATCATAACATTGTAAGTCAACACATCAGCCTCACAATCCCACTCAGACATTTCGTCGAACAGTTTCCAGTACCTCTCTGTATCACCAAGGTTTGCGCAAGCGTTGAGCACAGCGTTAAACGCCGCCGTGTCGGGTCTAGACTGAGCGACCAAAGACTGATCGGCGAAGCGTCGGACTCGGCGTGTGATAGCTGTAAAGAGTTTGATAGATTCTTCCGGTCCGTCGTCTCCGGCAGCGGAGAGGTTAGCTACTGCAGCTGTCCACGCTTTAAAGTGTGGTAAGTACCCAGAACGGAGCATGGATTTGATGACGGAGACTGCGTAGAGCGTTTGGCCGGATTTCGCGGCGGCCATGGCGAGGAGGCCGAGGGAATTGGCGTCAAGGCGATGGAGCTGGCGCTCATTGCGGAGGCGCGTGAGGACAGACTGCGCGCGCGTGAGGCTCTCGGGGTTGGATTGGTAAGATAATTGGGAAACCAAACGGCTAAGGCAAGTGGGTCCAGGGAGATGAGTGGATTGAACGTACTTAGCCCAAGCTTCATCGGTTTTTCTATTGCGGAGGAGAGACAGAAGCTCTGAGTCGTTGTGCGTTGAATACGGCTCTGAAGAAGAGCCCAAGAAGGAGGAGAGGTCGCCGGCGGAGCTGTTAGCAGTGCCGGAGGCGGACCGTACGAATAACGGGCGGCGCTTGGGTCGACCAGCGGCGGTGAATGGTGGAGCTATCGAGCAGAAGGATATGGTGTTGTGAGTGAGAGTGAAAGCCACCGACGATGGGGTTAGTGGGCCGGAGTTTGGGTGTGGTGGAAACGACGAAGATGAAGTCGGAGGTGGAAGTATGTTCATCTTAGGTCCATTGGAGAGAGAGTGTGTGTGTCTGAAGAAATGGGATTATTTGGGTGGAAAAGAGTTTAGCTACGTCGCCGTATTAAGTTCAAACATCTGTTCAAAATTAATATCTCCACAATTCTTTTTGCAAAAATAACCATTTTGATGATCCATTAAAAGAAACAGAGGATTATCATTAGCCTAATTAGTAATTACAACCATCCAATCTCAAGTATTCTTATGTTTAGAGAGAGCAGAACAGTGATTAGATTAAAATCCAGTTTCCGGCGGATGTGAAAACAAGAGTTAATATACTATTTTAGTAATTCAACTACAAGACGTTCAAAAAAAAAAAGTAATTCAACTACATTAAACAAGTATAGTCTAATGCTATGAGAGTACTATCCCTCCAAATACACAAATATTTTGTTCCAAGACTCTTTTCTTCATCAACTGAATTATCTTATTTCATCAATTACAAACAGCACAAGGCATACATGCAAACACAGAGTCTTTTTATTAATTTGTAATGTGATTATAATGATAAAGCGAGGGAGCAAGATTCACGGGATAGGACATGACACCACCAGATTCTAGATCACTCCTTTTTAGTGTCAGCAAACCTGCGAAGAACATGAAAATGTTTAGCCATTGTGGTCGGATTTAGACAAAACCAGATGTTCGTAAAAATCAAATACCACGACATTACCGGACAATAAGAAGAAAAAAAAAAAATCAGAAATGTAGAGGAAATTTTGTTCTGTGTGTTGTGTTACTTACCCGAGTTCTGACAACTTGAGATGAGCTTCAGTGTAGTCTTCGAAGAAGGCATCCTCATCCTGAGAGTAGTAGTAGTAGAATCAGTGATGAAACCCGATTGAATTTTATGATGTATGATGATGAGTTTGTATAACTTACTTCAGCATATTTCTCAACGAGGGGACGAAAGAGAGGATCATCGAGAAGAGCCTTGTCGGTTGGCAGTTGAAGAAGTCCTTCTTTCTCTCCGCTTAGTATCTCTCTGTTTTAAACAACAACCATCAAGAGCTTCTGATTCAGACTCGTCCAATCAAAGAATGACGAAACCTAAGGAAAGAAGGAGAGAATGAGATCTTACTTGAAATAAGAGTTGTCGAAAATGAGAGGGTTTTGTGTCCATGGTCCCTCGAATCCCGAACGTTCCTTGTGGCACCGACCCTGAAAAGTAAAAGTAAAACTATGGTAAGTGCCAAAAACTGTGAAGAGGACATAACTCTTTGTTTCTTGATGCAGAAACACATACCAAGGTGTGTCCACCGGACAATGCCACAATATCTTTGTCATTGAGTCCCATCCGACCAAATATATCTCTCAGATGATCCACGCCTGAAAGAGATGGTAAACATGTATCTATGATCTGATACTCTAATAATTCAGACTATATACAATTTCCCTTACAATAACTACTTTACCTTTGGTGGCATCAGGTAGGCGACCTTCAGGTGGTGGCTCAACTTTGTCCTGAAAGAACAAGTTTGTATCAAATAACCACATGAACCAACAAACAAACTTAGCAACAGAGGAAATTTTCATTTTGATGGTGTCTGTTTCAGACCATCCATTGAGAAGTTGGATATTGACTCACCACTCTACCAGGATGGAATGGAACTTCTGGTCCTCCGGTGATCTCAACAGCTACAACTCCAGCTAGCTACAGTATCCAAGAAACACATGTGATTCAATGCCTTAAAGCCACGGAAAATACAAGGTAAGCTTTCAGATTCAGTTTCAATCTACCATGCCTAAAATCTAATTCACTGCAAACAAACCATTTTATGCCACAACTTAGCAGTTTGATGCATCCTTTGCTCGCTATTACAGCTCATAAAGAAACTCAGCATAGTGTTGAAACTTTACCTGGTAGAAATCAGCGAAGGACAAGTTGGGGAACAACTCCCTGATGGGCTCAAGAAGCCTCACAGCAATATCAAGACCATTGTTAGCACCATGGGCTAACTCTTCCGGATGCCTTATCGTCCCATACGGTCCTCCCGTCTTCGTCTTCACGTCAAATGTCCCAGCCGAGTGCCATCTGCAAATTTTTCCAAACAAAATCTCTCAGATCCATCATACATCTCACAGACGCATCATCATAACTCATAAAGCAAAACAGGAATGGATCGAATTCTTACGCAAGACGGAGGATGATGGGAGCACAGTGCTTCTCGGCGATATGACCACGGAGCTTCCTCTTGCATCTCTGGACATCTTTCTTGTACTCTTCTTCCACTTCCGGGTAACTCTTCCCCATTTTTCTTTCTAATTCGCTTCTTTCCGAAAAATCAGGAAAGACTTTGTTATAACCAACAGAGATTTCAAAATCGGAGAACATATAGATCAAGTAGATTACAAGAAACTTACTCTACTCCTTAAACACAGTGATCGACTGAGAGAAAACCTGAAGAAAGTATTAGCACTTAGCAGTTGTAGTGTCTTTTGGTTTGCAAGTCAATTTAAAGAATTTGGCTGATGATCGAAAGAAGCTTCTAGTTTTAGTCCTTTGTTCAGATGGATGGTCAAGATTTGTGGACGGACCATCATTCTTCCTTGGCGCGCCTTCCAGAAACCAGAATTAAATATATGAACCCGTCCATTGGATTCATGCCACGTGGCGTCCTGTCCTCTTTAATTGAAATCTTCAGTAGTGTGAATGGAACATTCTTGCGTATTGTTTTATCTTTTTTTGAGTTTGAATGGAACAGTTGAGAGGGTAAAGACGCGTTAATGGAATATTTAAAATTAAAGTACTAATGATACTATTTAACAAAGATTACTTTTAACAGGATATGAACTTTTATAAAACTTTTTCCTCACCACCGAAGATCAATAAATTTTTTGTTCGTTTGAAATGGTCTTATAAAATCAACTGCAAAGCTACAATCTTTTCGAATTATCAAATCAATTGACCGAAAAACCAAGGTTTCGTCTAATTAATAGTATAACAAACATCATTAAAGTAAATGAAGTAGGAACACAGATTCTGATGAAAAGAAAGGTGGTACCAGAAGGAGAAATGAAAAGTAAATCTTGTTCATGATTCAACTCAGTATTCAGACTCCAAAAGACGAAACAGAAATAAAACAAAAATCCTTCACTAAACATAAAATCCTTCACTAAACATAAAATCCTTCACTAAACATAGCTAGTCCGACTGTAATGATACTGCAGAGGAAAGTCCTCTCATCATATGAAGTGAAAACTGAGATCTCAAGCGTTGCCACTGGTTCCATTGTCAAGACCTCAACAAGCGACAAATCATCATCGTAACGAAGATATCATCCTTCAGTTATCACGTAAGTATTTTTCTTATTCTTCTCTCTCCTCATACGTTTGAAATGCAAATGCAAGAAAACACTCTAATCTTTATCCGAAACCATCAATAGATAGATTCTAGATATCTGCTTATGGTTTGCATATAGAGTTATACAGTTCTCACTGGTAATAGTATCAGTCACACTCAAAATGACCGGATAATTTTCTAAGTTCTTGCATAGGAGTTACATGTGGTGCTCACCGTATTTGCAGGTTTACTCGTCGAGTTTCCATGTTTAATAAAGCTTTTGAGTTATACGTCAGTGGGAATCAGTCACAATCTTGTCAATGCGAAGTTGGGGATAGTGTATAGGGTGTGTTTAGTACGGTTTGTTGTTTTAAGGAGAAGAAACATGAGTGAAGTTTTTCAAGCTTTAGGGGACATGTGCAGAGATTTTGACCAGGACTAGTTCCGTGAGTGGTAGGTATAACATATTACTGTATAAGGGTTAGTTCTTGGTGTTCAAGGCGGTTAGCTGTTGCAAGGCAGCCTCATCCTCATCCGCCCTGTTAACTTCTTGTACAAAAATCTACTTATATTTCTTGGTTTTTTTGTTGTTGTGTATGTTATATATGTTCATCTGTTGGTTAAATCTCTAGTTAATTTTGCCTCTCAATCGGGTTATGTTTTATATAAGCTGGTGTCCGAGGAGATGTCCAAATCCTAAGACTGATTATTCTGCTTCAACATCAGTCTTACGTAAATAAACGCCAAGCCGAGAACTCCATTGTTTTGAAGCTAACAATTATTAGCTTTAAAATTGAATATTAAAAATTAAAGTATGAAATGGTTTTATAAAATCAGCTGCGAAGATATAATCTTTTCGAATTATCAAAGTAATCGAGAAAAAAGCCAATGCCTTGTCTAAATAACATAAAACTTGTTCATGATTCAACTTAGTATCCAGACTCCAAAAGACAACAGAAATAAAACAAAATCTTTCACTAAACATGAAAGTGTTTCCAAACAGATAAGATGATGATTACTGGCTAGCACCAAGCCATTTGGTGAAGTTGTCAAACTCGGTGTAATCACTGTCTGAGATCATAGTCTGGTACCACGACTTCCCTGCTGCTTTGATTGCCAATGCCTCCTCCTGTGGATTCAAGAGGTTCAAAAAGACGATTAAAAAACAAATCAAAGAAGAAAACTCTAACAAGACTACGCAATCAGACCGTAATTGCAGAGACATTTGATTGCTAAGCGAAAATAAAATCTCCATTAGAAAATGAGCCATAAGATACATCTCCATCGATAATAAGCAAAGAAACACAACCAATTTACAAGAGAACATCAGTATAACATATTTAGGATCAGAACAGATGATATAGTAAAGAAAGGCCACAAACTGAAGTCACTAACACTAGCATAAGCAAACTTAGTCAACAATTCAAAAACCAATGCGCCAAATGCAATCCAAAACAGAAATCGAATAGAAATCAATAACAACAATCCAGAAATGGCAGACAAAAGAAGAAAATGGGAAATGGAGGTTACCTTGGTGACAGTCTTCCTCTTCTTGGTGAGCTTCTCCTTCTTGGCCTTAACCCTCTGAGCCTCCGCCAACAACGACATCCTCTTGGCAGTCTTAGCATAAGGATTCAACTTGAGCATCACGTTGAGGTTCTTCAACGGATTCTTCTTCATCACAGCCCTCTTCGCATCCTTCTTAATCGGCTTCACAACGCTCTGAACCTCATCGGAGTTGATAATCCTAGCGAGATCAGCATTCACCATCTTCGCACGAGGAAGCACGTACCCCTTCTTCTTCTCAGACGGCTTATCGAACGAGCCGTAGATCGACTCGAGCTTCTCGAAGGCAGACTTGGTCCAGATCACGAAACGGCCAAGGTGACCACCAGGAGCAAGCTTCAGCAAGTTAAGCCTCTCCACGTGGCAGAGCTCAACACCAGTAATGTTCCTAAAGGCCTTGACTATCTTAGCTCCTTCAGTTCCGTAAACCACGAGAGGACCTTTCCTCGATATGTAACGGCGGTTCCTCGCCTTACCTTTACCGGGACGGATCCCGATGCTGTCCTTGGCCTTCTCGGCGTCGTCGTAAGCTCCGAACTGCTTCAGAGCCTTGATCGCGGCTGATGTCTTCTCCAGTGCCTCGGTGGTGTCGCTGACAACAAGGGGCATCTCCGGGACGTTTTCGATGCGGTGACCGCGAGCCATCACGAGAGCTGGAACAGCAGTCGCGGCGATCGCTGAGACGATTGCGTGCCTCTTCATGTTCACATTGACGCGACGGTGCCATTTCCTCCAGATCTTCGTCGGAGCGAACATTCGACCACCACGACACATGTTACCGAAGGCGGCCTGACCGGCACGGTGGGTACCGCCTCCGGGAACACGAGGGATACGGGAGACGGCACGACCGGTTCCCCATGACTCGGCGGAGGTCTGGTGACCGGCTTTCTTCGACACGGCGTAAGGCTGGCGGCTGTTGTTGGAGATCTGGGCGTGGACGAAGCTGACCACGTCTGGGCGAATCGGCGCCGTCATGACATCGGGCAACACCACGGTGAAGGACTGATCGGTGCTCATGTCACCGTCCAAACCCTGGACGGAGACGAGAGGACGTGCGGCGGCGGCGGCCATTTCTGTCTCTCGATATGTGTTTTCTCTCTTCACTCACTGTCTCTCGACTCGATGAGACTTCTAGGGCTTCCCCGCAGCCCCAGCTTAAGAATAAATATATGCTACGATTTCGATTAGGGTTTAATGTCGAAATCTCGATTACTGGGCCTTAAAAAGCCCAAATAATTTACTTTTGCTTTCAAGCCCAAAAATTCAAAGTCTCCACGTGATATAACTTGTGGGTTCAAAGACTGTGTGATTCAGGTTTTGAGGATAGCTTACTCTGAATTTAAGGCAAAATTTACTTTGGCACGTTTTGAATTTACTCTTCGTGTACTGCCTTCTTGATCTACAGGACTACAGATAAGGTTCAGAAAAACGGGACACTAGCACATGTGCCACATCAAAAATCTGGTGATGAACCTATTGGGCTTATGTTTTATTTACCCACATGTGCCACACTAATATTTACCCTCTTTATCGGGTTATGTTTTTAGCTAAGCTGGTGTCAGTTGTCCAAATCCTAAGATTAGGTTTATCTGACCTATTAGTGTGTTTTATTTACCCACATGTGCCACACTAATATTTACCCTCTTTATCGGGTTATGTTTTTAGCTAAGCTGGTGTCAGTTGTCCAAATCCTAAGATAAGAGGGTAAATATTAGTGTGGCACATGTGGGTAAATAAAACATAAGCCCAATAGGTTCATCACCAGATTTTTGATGTGGCACATGTGCTAGTGTCCCGTTTTTCTGAACCTTATCTGTAGTCCTGTAGATCAAGAAGGCAGTACACGAAGAGTAAATTCAAAACGTGCCAAAGTAAATTTTGCCTTAAATTCAGAGTAAGCTATCCTCAAAACCTGAATCACACAGTCTTTGAACCCACAAGTTATATCACGTGGAGACTTTGAATTTTTGGGCTTGAAAGCAAAAGTAAATTATTTGGGCTTTTTAAGGCCCAGTAATCGAGATTTCGACATTAAACCCTAATCGAAATCGTAGCATATATTTATTCTTAAGCTGGGGCTGCGGGGAAGCCCTAGAAGTCTCATCGAGTCGAGAGACAGTGAGTGAAGAGAGAAAACACATATCGAGAGACAGAAATGGCCGCCGCCGCCGCACGTCCTCTCGTCTCCGTCCAGGGTTTGGACGGTGACATGAGCACCGATCAGTCCTTCACCGTGGTGTTGCCCGATGTCATGACGGCGCCGATTCGCCCAGACGTGGTCAGCTTCGTCCACGCCCAGATCTCCAACAACAGCCGCCAGCCTTACGCCGTGTCGAAGAAAGCCGGTCACCAGACCTCCGCCGAGTCATGGGGAACCGGTCGTGCCGTCTCCCGTATCCCTCGTGTTCCCGGAGGCGGTACCCACCGTGCCGGTCAGGCCGCCTTCGGTAACATGTGTCGTGGTGGTCGAATGTTCGCTCCGACGAAGATCTGGAGGAAATGGCACCGTCGCGTCAATGTGAACATGAAGAGGCACGCAATCGTCTCAGCGATCGCCGCGACTGCTGTTCCAGCTCTCGTGATGGCTCGCGGTCACCGCATCGAAAACGTCCCGGAGATGCCCCTTGTTGTCAGCGACACCACCGAGGCACTGGAGAAGACATCAGCCGCGATCAAGGCTCTGAAGCAGTTCGGAGCTTACGACGACGCCGAGAAGGCCAAGGACAGCATCGGGATCCGTCCCGGTAAAGGTAAGGCGAGGAACCGCCGTTACATATCGAGGAAAGGTCCTCTCGTGGTTTACGGAACTGAAGGAGCTAAGATAGTCAAGGCCTTTAGGAACATTACTGGTGTTGAGCTCTGCCACGTGGAGAGGCTTAACTTGCTGAAGCTTGCTCCTGGTGGTCACCTTGGCCGTTTCGTGATCTGGACCAAGTCTGCCTTCGAGAAGCTCGAGTCGATCTACGGCTCGTTCGATAAGCCGTCTGAGAAGAAGAAGGGGTACGTGCTTCCTCGTGCGAAGATGGTGAATGCTGATCTCGCTAGGATTATCAACTCCGATGAGGTTCAGAGCGTTGTGAAGCCGATTAAGAAGGATGCGAAGAGGGCTGTGATGAAGAAGAATCCGTTGAAGAACCTCAACGTGATGCTCAAGTTGAATCCTTATGCTAAGACTGCCAAGAGGATGTCGTTGTTGGCGGAGGCTCAGAGGGTTAAGGCCAAGAAGGAGAAGCTCACCAAGAAGAGGAAGACTGTCACCAAGGTAACCTCCATTTCCCATTTTCTTCTTTTGTCTGCCATTTCTGGATTGTTGTTATTGATTTCTATTCGATTTCTGTTTTGGATTGCATTTGGCGCATTGGTTTTTGAATTGTTGACTAAGTTTGCTTATGCTAGTGTTAGTGACTTCAGTTTGTGGCCTTTCTTTACTATATCATCTGTTCTGATCCTAAATATGTTATACTGATGTTCTCTTGTAAATTGGTTGTGTTTCTTTGCTTATTATCGATGGAGATGTATCTTATGGCTCATTTTCTAATGGAGATTTTATTTTCGCTTAGCAATCAAATGTCTCTGCAATTACGGTCTGATTGCGTAGTCTTGTTAGAGTTTTCTTCTTTGATTTGTTTTTTAATCGTCTTTTTGAACCTCTTGAATCCACAGGAGGAGGCATTGGCAATCAAAGCAGCAGGGAAGTCGTGGTACCAGACTATGATCTCAGACAGTGATTACACCGAGTTTGACAACTTCACCAAATGGCTTGGTGCTAGCCAGTAATCATCATCTTATCTGTTTGGAAACACTTTCATGTTTAGTGAAAGATTTTGTTTTATTTCTGTTGTCTTTTGGAGTCTGGATACTAAGTTGAATCATGAACAAGTTTTATGTTATTTAGACAAGGCATTGGCTTTTTTCTCGATTACTTTGATAATTCGAAAAGATTATATCTTCGCAGCTGATTTTATAAAACCATTTCATACTTTAATTTTTAATATTCAATTTTAAAGCTAATAATTGTTAGCTTCAAAACAATGGAGTTCTCGGCTTGGCGTTTATTTACGTAAGACTGATGTTGAAGCAGAATAATCAGTCTTAGGATTTGGACATCTCCTCGGACACCAGCTTATATAAAACATAACCCGATTGAGAGGCAAAATTAACTAGAGATTTAACCAACAGATGAACATATATAACATACACAACAACAAAAAAACCAAGAAATATAAGTAGATTTTTGTACAAGAAGTTAACAGGGCGGATGAGGATGAGGCTGCCTTGCAACAGCTAACCGCCTTGAACACCAAGAACTAACCCTTATACAGTAATATGTTATACCTACCACTCACGGAACTAGTCCTGGTCAAAATCTCTGCACATGTCCCCTAAAGCTTGAAAAACTTCACTCATGTTTCTTCTCCTTAAAACAACAAACCGTACTAAACACACCCTATACACTATCCCCAACTTCGCATTGACAAGATTGTGACTGATTCCCACTGACGTATAACTCAAAAGCTTTATTAAACATGGAAACTCGACGAGTAAACCTGCAAATACGGTGAGCACCACATGTAACTCCTATGCAAGAACTTAGAAAATTATCCGGTCATTTTGAGTGTGACTGATACTATTACCAGTGAGAACTGTATAACTCTATATGCAAACCATAAGCAGATATCTAGAATCTATCTATTGATGGTTTCGGATAAAGATTAGAGTGTTTTCTTGCATTTGCATTTCAAACGTATGAGGAGAGAGAAGAATAAGAAAAATACTTACGTGATAACTGAAGGATGATATCTTCGTTACGATGATGATTTGTCGCTTGTTGAGGTCTTGACAATGGAACCAGTGGCAACGCTTGAGATCTCAGTTTTCACTTCATATGATGAGAGGACTTTCCTCTGCAGTATCATTACAGTCGGACTAGCTATG